TATGACACCTATAAGGCGAGGTAAGTAAAATTATGGTAAATGCCATTGGATTTTAATGTAAAGGTTTTAAAAGTATATTTTAAATTGTTTTTGAGATGGTGGTAGGACCTAAACTGATTTTTATTAGCACATGAGTATAACTGGTTTGAAATGAAGTTGTTATTATTGTTATTGAGTTAAGCATGCCTACATGGAATTACTTGATTGTCTTGATGATATAAAATTGGTTTGTAATTATGAATTTTCCTATTAACTCCTACATGGTTTTGTCTCCAATATGATTATGATTCTTGAAGCCTGCCAATGGGAGTTGTAAATGCTAGTCTTGATGACCACTTAAAATTTCAAAATAATGAAAAATTAAGTGTGAAAAATATAAGAAAAATAGGAGTCGTCATTCGTCCAAATTATAAGGTGGGATAAGTCACATTAAACGGGTTTGCACAGAGATCGGGGTTCGAGGGTTCGGTTAGGAGTGAGTAAGGGCATGCGTCCACCTCACAATTCTCTATTTAAACATGGTTGCATACTTTAATATTGGTGTTTTAATTCAACTTATTTATTATATTTATGTTTTAGTCTTAATAGGTAGACTACAAAAGAATAAACCAAATTGAAACTTTAAAAAAATTTTGGATTAAAATCGACAAAACCAAAGACATGCATGCATCATAAGCATAAATAAAAATTAAATGGACTAATTTGATTAAATTCAAAACATGAAAGACTGAATTAAAAAAAGATTTGAAACCTTGGGACTGAATTGCTTAATCGTACAAACTTTTAAGAAAAATTGAAATAAAATAAAAGATAACTTGGGCTTTGACGCAAATTAAAGAAAATTGAGGATTGAAATTAATTAGTCAAGATAATTAGTTTAATGAAATAATCAATTTAATATTAATTAAAATTAATTAATCACATTTATTAATCCTTAATTGAGATAATCAAATAAATCTAATCTAATTATCTCCAACTAAATTCAATAAATATGATTAATTTATTTTAATTAAGATTAACTAACTTCATTAATCATATATTAAACTAATTCACTTTATTAATTAATAAAATTTTTATATATTTATATTTTTTTAGTTTTTAACTGGATCGGATTAAATTGACCCGACCCAAGAACACAATCCATCAAGCAACACATGCGAGAAACAGATCAAACATGAAAGGAACGAAATCACAATTTAGGGTTCATCTTTCAAGAAAAAAAAAAGAAAAGAAAACACATTTGTCGAGTAAAATAAACATTAGCCACATGAACTAAATCATTCCTTGATTTTTCATTCAGTTCCAACAAACATACACAAATCTAACATCAAAACCTAAAGAAAGAGACTTCAACAACAAAACACAAAAGAAATAAATATGACAGATTCTTAAAGGAAAAAACAAATCTGGATTTCATGGGAGGAATCCCACCCATGGGATCAGGCTCCCACCATTTCGTTCACCATTTCCCTAAAAGAACCATCTGTTCCAGAAAATTACCTAAGGAAAAAGGACTCCTATCTCCAACCGGTGCCCAATTATACCTCAGACAAAATGCTCCTCCTTTTGCCGCTGC